GATCCCACATCAAAAAACCCAACACAGAAACAACAAAAAATGGCGTTCCTCCACTTCCACTGCTACCCTAGAGGGTCAGTTCTGCCTGTACCAGGTGACTAACAGTGGAGGACTTGACCTGGAAGGAGATACACCATAGGGCACTACCCATGGTGTGTGCCTTGATGCTGAGGTTGTAATGGAAATCAAGGAAGCATATCTCTTGAATCCAGTAAGATTCAGGGTCAGCAGCTTCACTGGCAGCCACCACATTGCTAGCTCTTCTAGGAGCTTGTTCCACTGTAGCAAACTTACAATGCTCCAGTGCCGGACTCACAGTGAGTGCACCAATGTGGCCATAGAACAAGAAACTATGTATTCGTTAACTGGTAGCTTTTATAATCATGATGACAAAGATGAGTGTCTACTCTCAAGCTCTAAGTTTTCCATGGACATCAGATTCTCTTGTTAAACAGCAAAGAGGATAATGGAGGGGCTTCTAGTGCCAATTGTCTACACTCAGGGTTGTTTTTTTTTTATTTTACAGTAGGTCTGTATTGTTTTCTAGTCAGAACAGAAATAAAGCGAGTTGTTTTGTTGAAAAGAAGTGGGACTTTGGCACCAATGAGGAGAAAATGAACATGTTTTACTTATTCCTTCTAAGGTGCATGGCTGAGGTTTCTTATGACAAATGACAGGTTAATGAAAGCATGCAAATTTAGGCTGATGAGAGAGCTCAGCCGACAAAGTTCCTGATATGCAAGTATGAAGACCTCTGTTCAATCCCCAGAAGTCAAATAAGAAATCTGGGCACAGTGGGGAAAAGGAGACAGAAGGCTCCCTGGGGCTTACTGAACAGCTAACCCAGCCTGTATGTCCACTTCCAGACCACCAAGGGAACGTATCTCAAAAAATATAAAAAGAGATGGCTCCTGAGGAACATCTGAAGCTGTCCTTTACATCCACAGGCACATGCACGGTACATACAGGAACACACACAAGCATGCAAATTTACTTATTAAGTTGAGTGGGGGAAGAAGAACACTTATTCAGCGTTGGTGGCTGTGTAAACTGGTGTAGCTACTATAGAAATCAGTGTAGAGCTCCCCCCCCAAAAAAAAATCCTTAAACTAGAACTACAATATGATCCAGGTCTACCACTCCTTTTACCCATAGGATTCTAAGTTAACCTGTGACAGAGAAACCATATACAAGTAGGTGGTGCATGACTTTAATCCCAGCACTTGGGAGGCAGAGGCAGTTGGATCTCTGTAAGTTTGAGGCCAGCCTGGTCTACAAAACTAGTTCCAGGACAGCCATGGCTATAGTGAGACCCTGTCTCAAAGTGAAACCATGACATTTACAAGAAAATGAATGGAACTGGAAATCATTATGTTAAGCAAAGTCAGACTAAGGAATGCAAATACTGCATGTCTTCTTTCATAGGAAAGGCTGAGAAGAAAAGGAGAGATATTGGATGGGGATAATGTAGAGGCCCACAAAGGTCTCCTAGTGAGAGCTGAGCTTGCCTTACCCACCAGAGCTGCATTAGAGGATTGCTTGACCATGCGCATAGTTTCTAGGTGATTGGAAGGGTCTACACTTGGCTGTGCTAGGGGGAGGTCTTTTGCTCCACCCCTTGGCATGCCTATAAATAGCCCTTTAGAAGAGACAGGAAGGGCCGGTGGATAAGGATCCAGGCCCTCCCGAGGCTATCCTCTGTTTCTATCTGTTTCTTTACCCTCTATATTTCTATCTAAATCTCCTATCCCTCACTTCTCAAGAGTACCCTGAGGTAAAATGTGGGAGCCAGCCAAAGCAGAAGAGGAGTTAGTTATTGGAGGGTAGAAAGGGGACCAGGGGGATGAGGGGAGCAGAAAGTATGGGAAGGGAGGGAAGGAAGAGGGCCAAAAAAATGTATGGGGCTAGCTAGGTGTGTTGGTGCACGCCATTAATGCCAGCACTTCGGAGACAGAGACGGGGAGAGCTCTGTGAGTTCAAGGGCAGCTTGGTCTACACAGTGAGTTCCAAGATTGCCATGGCTACATAGTGAGACCCTGTCTCAGAGAGGGTGGCTGTGGAGGGATGCTAATGCTTACAGTTTACTTTAGCCTCCATAGCTGAAGGACTCAAACCTGTTCTTGCTAAATTCGCACTTTCAACATCCCCAGATTACGTGTATGGAATTCATATTTTATTTGGTTTAGTATCTCTTGTATACTATAGACAAACCTTAAGAAGACCTTCCAACCAATAGCCCAACCCAAAATAACCATTTGGTTGTTGTTTAATTATTTTTTTTATGTGTATGGGTATTTGGTCTGTATGTATGTCTGTGTGCCACTTGTATGCCTGGTACACCCAGAGGCCAGAAGAGGGCATAGGGTCTCCTGGGACAAGAGTTATAGATGGCTGTAAGCCACCATGTGGGTGCTGGGAATTGAACCTAGGTCATCTGGAAGAGTGCCCAGTGTTCTTAATTCTGCTCCCAGTTGTTTGTTTATGAGACAGGATTTTGCTAGGTAGAGCAGGCTGGTTTTCAACTTTCTTTTTCAATGAGACAGGGTCTCCTGTGTCCCAGGCTTGCCTCAGACCTATCTACCATGCAGCTGAAGATGACTTTAGACCCCAGATCCTCCTGCCTCTTCCTCTTGGAGTGCTGAGATTACAGTCATGTGCCACCACGCCAGACTTTTCTTAACAGGGATGTGGCACAGTGAGGGAACTGGGAATCAATCCCTGGGTAGTCTGTTTAGGCAGACACTGGAAGGAGGAGGAAAAGGAAGAGGTGGAGGGGAGGAAAGGCAGCAGGAGGAAGAGGGGGAGGAGGAGACAAAGGTGGAAGAGGAAGGCCTAATCAATAAAAGAAAAAGGTAAAAAGAAAGGGGAAATAGAGAAGAGGTTCTCAACCTGTGGATCATGATTCCTTTGGGAGTTGAACAAACCTTTCACAGCAATCACCTAAGACCATCAGAAAACAGATATTTACATCATGACAGTAGCTAAATTAGTTAGGAAGTAGCAACGAAAATAATTTTGTGGTTGGGGGTCACCACAACATGAGGAACTGTATCAAAGGGTCGCAGCATTAGGAAGGTTGAGAACCACTGGTTTGGAGAGTAAACTCCCCAATGTATTTGTTAATGATGTAACTTCATTATTTATTGTGCACACATACCACATTTCCTTTCTCCATGTCTTTGTTGATGGCCATTTAGACGGGTTCCATATCGTGGCTACTGTAACTAGTGCTCAATAAATGTGGGTGTGCAAGTGTCTGTGGTATGCGGGGCGACCAGCTGCCTCAGGATCCTGCTACCACAGCTCTGCTGCTCTTGCCACCACTACACCTTGTGTGCCATGGTAGACTGCACCCTCGAACTATTAGCCCAAAGAAAGCTCTCCTTAAGGCGCTCTCTACAGAAGTTTTGTCACATCAGTGAGAAAGGAGCAAATGCAGATCATTTTGTTCAGTGACAGGTCTGTACCACTAAAGAAGAAGAATCAAAATTTCCTCCTGTCCCATATGTCTCCTGAGACCGTGTTGATTCTGATTCACCGTTTAATTCCCAACACCAAATGTATGTTTTAAAATGCACACAGAAAACTGTCTGAAGGGCTGGGGATGTAGTTCAGTTGGTAGAATGCTTGCCTAGCTCGAATGAATTAAATCTCCAGGACCACATAAACCAGGGCTGGTGGTGCATGCCTTTAATCCTAGCAAAGGGAGGGTGGAGGCAAGAAGATCAAGATTGCAATGTCATTCTTGGCAAAAGAGCAAATTGGAGGTAAGCCATGCCACGTGATACATGTGACTCTGTCTTTCAAAAAAAAATGAAGGAAGAGAGGGAGAAGGAGAAGGAGGGACAGGAGGAGGAGGAGGAGGAGGAGGGTGACTGAAGGGGATGGGGATGTAATTCAGTGGTAGATTGGAGGCTTAGCATGTTCCAGGCTCTGGGTTCCACAAAACAAACCAAGCAAACAAAACTGACTGGAGGCAGCTGAGGAGTGAGCAAGGTGGCCTGCCCCAGGGAAGAGCAGTCCAGTGTCAAACAGTCGGCCCTGAAAGCATACATACAAAGAACATCATACAGAGCAAACAGGTTATATTTAGGAATGTATATGTATATATACACATCTATGCACACAATAGCAATTATTGAAAAAGAGACCATGAATTTGAAGGAGAGTGGGGAGGGGTATATGAGACGGTTTGGAGAGAGGAAAGGGAAAGGAGAGATGAAGTAACTATATTATCATCTTAAAAATAAAAACAACTGCCGGGCGGTGGTGGCGCACGCCTTTAATCCCAGCACTTGGGAGGCAGAGCCAGGAGGATCTCTGTGAGTTCGAGCAGCCTGGGCTACCAAGTGAGTTCCAGGAAAGGCGCAAAGCTACACAGAGAAACCCTGTCTCGAAAAACCAAAAAAAAATAATAATAATAATAAAATAAAATAACAACTTTAAAAAGGCTTTTCTGACAGAAAGGAGGGGACTGGAGAGATGTATATTGGGATGCTAATGGTGTTGACAATGACCGTGGGAAATAAGGTGGGCTGGGGCTGTCAGATAGCTCTGTGGGTAAAGCCAAGGCTGAGGGGCAGAATGCAGTCCTTGGAATCCACACGGCGGCGGTAGGAGAGAACCAGACTTCTTCTGCAAGTTGTTTTCTCATCTTCACGCTGGTGCAAAGGTCCCCTTACTCCCCTACACATAAACAAATAAACAAACAAACAAATAAACAAGTGTAGTTTACAAAAGAAAGGTCTATTGTGTCCTGCTTTATTGATGTATTTTCCATAATTCTATAAGGAACAACAATAATAATTGCCATCCTTTTCTTACCTCATCTCCCAGCATCTGTGGGCGATTCTCCTGGTGGGCGTGCCCTCAGCCAGAATGAGCTTCTAACCTTTCATGGTGTTATTTTCATTTTGCTTTTCTATGCAATTAATGAGTCTGTGGAATTTCTCTCTTTCTTTCCTTAATTTCATTTTTTCTTCTCTTGTTCTTTTGCTCAGCCACATTGGGATTGTCATCGACAGAGGTATGTTACAGTAAGCAGGCTGGATTTTCCATCATCGTTATTGCCTTTGAAGTAAAACTAAGGGATGAGTCCAGCACTATTTGGGGGAGAGTGCGAGGAGGGGGTGAAACCTAGGGCCTTGTGCATGCTAAGCAAGTGATTTGCATTGAGCTACATACACCTGAAGCCTGGGAGGTTTTTTCAAATCTATATTATTTTGTGTGAGGGGTGTGTACATGAGTGTAAAGGTGTGCACACCTGTGCACATGCATTTGAAGGTGAGGGGAAGACTTTGGACGTCGTCCTCTATTGTTCTATCCCTCATTACCTTGAGACAGATGCTCTCACTAAACTGGAAGCTTTCTTTTTTCGGCTGGGTGGGCTGGCCCTGAGCTACCTACATCACCTGTCTCTATCCCCTAAATGGAGCTACAGGCATATGCAGCCACACCCAGCTTTCTACCTGGGCGCTGCATATTTGAACTCAGGTCGTCCTCATGTTTGCATAAGCCGAATCCTCTTACCCACAGAGGCATCTTCCCAGCCCCTTTTCAAAGGTATTTTTAAAAAAGTTTTAGACTGAGATTAGGCCTATCATTTCAGCACTCAGTGATCAGAGACACTCAAGGCTAGCCTGGCTACACAGTGGGGTCCTGGCCAGCCTGGGCTACAAAGTGAGACCCTGACTCGAAAAAAAAAAAAAAGAATAAAGAAAGAAGAGAAAAGAAAAAAGGAAAAGAAAGAAAGGAAGGAAGGGTGAGGGTGGGGGAGCAGCTAGGAGCATAACTCGGGTGTCAGAGTGCTGATCTAGCATCCATGGTCCAGAACAACATTAAACTGGATGTGGTGGTACATGTCTGTAACCCCAGAACTCTAGAGGTAGAAGTGGGGTGTCAAGGTCTTCTTTGACTACACAGAGTTCAAGGCCACCCTGGAATATGTGAGAACCTGTTTCAACGAAATAAGAAAAACAAAAACAAACCCAAAAATCTAAAAAACACCCACCCAGACCTATTTTAGGTACCTTTGCTCATGCTAGGCTATGATTTAACACTTAGTCACACCCCTAGTAAGATTGCGGGGGGGGGGGGGGGGCTTCTTTGTTCTTGGGATAGGATTTTTCTATGTAGCACAGATACCATACCCAGTTAGGTTGGCATCTGTTTTGCTGTTGTTATTGTTCCTTTTTTTAAAGGCAGATTCTCAAGTAGCCCAGGCTGGCCTGGAACTTGATATGTAGCTGATGATAACCTTGAACTCTTGATCCTCCTATCTCTGTCTTCAAAGTGCTGGGATTACAGCCATGTACCACCACAGGTAGTTTTTAAAATCGGATGCCTAAATAGGACCCTCCAGGGAGCATGATGAGTCCAATCTTGTACTGGAACTCCATCCCCAAGGTGAACATTACCCTTGTGTACAGGGGTAGTCCTGGGAGATAATTAGCTGGTTGCCTATAGCGACAGGCATTTACATATTTAGAGTCAAAGATGAGAAGGGCATGGTGGAACATGCCTTTAATCTCAGCATTTGGGATGTAGAGGCAGGAGGATCAGGAGGCTCAAGGCTATCTTTGGCTACACAGAAAGTTGGTCAGTCAGCTTGTGCTGAATGAGACCCTGGCTTGAAACAATACAAAAAGGGCATAGGAGGATGGCTCATTTGGTAGAGTGCTTGCCTTTCATGCACAAGGACTTGTGTTCAATCAATAGAACTCATAAAAAAAATTCTGGGCCATGTTGGCAGGAGCTTATAATCCCAGTGCTGGGGAGGTAGAGACTGGAGAATCCCAAGCCAAGCTGGCCAACCAGTCTAGCCTAATCGGTGAGTTCCAGGCAGATAAGAGACCCTGCCTCAAAGGAAGTAGATGGAATTCCTGAGAAAGACACCCAAAGTTGTTCTCTAGCCACCACATGTATGAGTATTCAAGCACACGTGCACCTGAACATGTACACATGCACAAACACATTTTTAAAAAGTAATATAGAGCTGGGGTGTACCTTAGTTGGTAGAATGGTTGCTTAGCATTCATGAAGAAGCTCTTGACTTGATCCCAAGCACCCTATAAACTGGACAAGGCATCCATCTATAAACCCAGCACTCACAGGTAGAGCTAGGAGGATTGGGAGTTCAAGGTCATCTTCTGCTATGTAGTGAGTTTAAAGTCAGCCTGCGATACATGAGAGAGACCCTGTCTAAAAACAGCGGCAGCAGCCACAACCCAAGTAACACGGAATCAAAGATGAGTGGCCACTGTGTGTGTTCAGAGGCACACCCCGTAAGGAGTGAATCTGACCTTTGCAAACAAACTTCTTGTGGTGCACTGGCCACTTGTCTTTGACTATGACTTTCGTGACTTGTGCCACTCTGGCTACCTGCAGGATGAGGTCGAGGACCCCTGGTACCACAAAGCATGCAAGTGTGATTGCCAGGGAGGAACCAATGCTCTGTGGTCTGCAGGAGCTGCCTCTTTAGACTGTATCCCAGGTGAGTGGCTCAACACCTGAGCATTCCTCCTCCCCAAACCCAGTCCCTCTGCTCTGCTTGCGTATTCTCTCATGCTCACTTGTCAGCTTCGAATCTCACACTGGCCACTGCTTCAACATGTTCCTTCCCTTCCCGGCTTGCCTGAGATGGTCAGGTGAGACCCAACTGTCCTTGCAATCTGAAAATAACTCAGAGTTGGGGGACTCCCCTTCTTATGGGTATCAGAGGAAGGGGCGGGTCTATGGCCTGTGATTGATGAGTAGTCCATAGTATGTACTTGGAATCAGGCTGTCTCCAAATTAGCTTTGAGAGTAGGGAGGGTAAGAATCTGGAAAAACAGGTTGCTTTAGTTCTAGAAACAAAATTACTATTGTTTCATGGATTGTCAGAGTTCAGCTAAAATAGAGGGGGCTCTACAAATGGTATGGTCCTGGCTGACACTTAATTCTGCCATTGTGGGTTTGGAAGTAGCCACAGACATTATGTAAACACATAAGCGTGGCTGTGTCCCAATAGCATTTTATAATAAAGCAGACAGCGGTGAAGCCAGACATGGTGGTACAAGCCTGTGATCCCAGCACTTGGGAGGCAGAGGCAGGAGGATCATGAGTTTGAGACCAGCCTGGGCCTCAATAGTGAGACACTGTCACTAACAAATGGGGGATGAGTCAAACTTGGTTTAGAGGTTACAGTTTGGTGACTCTGCTCTGTGGGGCCGTTAGGAGGAATAAACAAAACAAGGCATCATTGTGTTGAACTTGGCCAACTGCAGCCTTTAATAGACATTGGTTCTTTTGTTTTGTTGCCTCCTAGGAGTTCACACTGAGAAATTAGGGCAGACTTGCAGAGGCTTGCACTGGCCCTGCAAATATTTGCAAAGCTTAATCCTTTCCATGGCCCAGGGCCAACTGTGCATGAAACTGGCCCGGCCATCCCTCTCCTGGTTATGACAGTGCCCTTCCATCTGGTGTTCTCAACAGAAACTGAGTCTCTACAGACAACTGTGAGGTCAGGAAGGGGAACTGGGGGACAGGAAGGCTGTTCAGTGAAATTGGGATTTTCCTCAGGGTTGTTGTCCCATTATGTTTGGTGGCAGGGACTCCCGCAGATGTTAAATGTTGTTGTGACCTGCCTAGTCTTAAAGGACCTTCTCTATCTGGTCAATGACTTTAACCACACACCTACTGTGTGCTGGGCACTGATAGGAAGTCAGGAACCAAGGCTTTGGCTCCACCATGGTGAGGTTTACCATTTGGTGGAAATGGCTATTTTTTTCTGCTGTGAATGGGGAGATATGCCTCCTCCTAATGGATGATCCTCTAATCCTGTGGTTCTCAACCCTCCTAATGCTGCGACTCTTTAATACCGTTCCTCATGTTATGGTGACCTCCAACCATAAAATTATTTTCATTGCTACTTCCTAACTGTAATTTTGCTACTGCTCTGAATCAGAATGTAAACATCTGATATGTGACCCCTGTGAAAGGGTTGTTTGATCCCCCCAGATGGGTTGAGACCCACAGGTTGAGAAGCACTTGACTAACCCCACCTGCCCCAGCACTCTCCATTCTTGTGCCCGAAGGGGGAGAATCACACTGGGGCACAGATAAAGGTGCCAGTGGTCACTAGCAAGCCAAAGGATGTTAGAGGGTGAGGAAGCAAAGCAGAAAGTGAGTCCACCCTCCAGAACCTCCTGCGGGGACAAAGGGCTGTCTCTATTGTCTAGCCTTCTAAGTCTGGGTCTACCATTTTCTTGTCCTTGCCAACCCTTGGGGACAGCCTGAGGTGTAGTCCTTTTCCTGCAATAAAGAGTTCAATCTGCTACACTTAGATGCAGTAATATGTAGAAAAGTATAACCACCCATAAAGTGAGACGCTGAGTAGGGAAAGAGCTTTTGCTGGAAGCCGGCTGGAGCCTGTTGTTTTCCTCAGAGCCCTGTCCCTTCCTTCTCTTAGCTGGTCAGCCTGACTGTCACACACACACACACACACACACACACACACACACACACACACACACACACACGCTGCTGTCAGCACTCTTACTTTCTCATTGGGACTGACCTCTCCATTTTGAGCCTACCATTTGTTTTAACCAAAACATTTCCAGTAGAGACATGAGATCTAACGGGATTTCGCTCTTAAGAAGCTTCTTGGAAAGTAGACAGAGGGCTGGAGATGTAGCTCTGTTGTCAGAGTGCCTGCCTAGCACAAGCAGAACCCCGGAGTTCCATCTTTGGGCTCAGGATCCCAGCAACTCTGGAGGTGGAGGCAGGAGGGCTGTTACTTCAAGACCACACTCAGTGCCACAGAGGGAGTTTGGAGCCAGCCTGGATTAGGTAAGACACTGTCAGAAATAAATGAAGAGGGCCAGTGGCTACGGTGCCTGCTGACCGGACTCACACGATGGAAGGGGAGGGAGACTGCTTCAAGTTGTCCTCTGACCTCCACATATGCACTGATTTCCACATGGGTGCTGTGGCGCACTCCCCCTCCCCCCCCAATAAATAAATATATTACAAATACAGAAGGAAAACCCAGAAAAGAAACTGGACAGGCACTGTTTCTGGAGATCGGCTTTATTAAGTCAATCAACTGAGGAGCTGAGAAGGTCCTACTTTGGCTATTTGGTCCCTTATGGAGTTGCCGTGAACTTGAGGTTCTAACATGATACTGTATCTTAGCATAGTGCTCTCTTTAGAGTGTTTACTTTCTAACAACAAAGACACTTCAGGGAGGAGGGAAAAAACCACGTCAGTGTGAAAGAGTTGATCACTGTGTTAACTGGCTGTTCTGTGACTGGAAAGATTCAAGGCAGCAGGACTAGTCTCAAGCTTCCAGAAGTCATTTGTTGGTCACTGTTTCAGTTTCTCGTGGAATGCCAAGGACTCGACTTTGTCTGGATCTTGATATTGAGTGCTTCCATCAGGGCCTGCCTTAGGAGGGAAGATCCTAGAAAGCACAGAAGCATGGGTGCTGTCACTCAGAGAGTCCCAGAGATCCCACAGGGGTACCTAGGTTAAAGTCTAGGGGCTCCACCCACAGACCAGAAGGCCAGGGACCTGTAGTTTCAGCTGAAACTATTACAAATACCAATTCTTCCTTTTCCACAGGTTGGCTTGGCCTCCTGATGATGGGGTATGGCAGGGTGGGGGCACGCAAAAACCTAAGAAATCCAGGGGTTCAGGCTGGGGTTCTGTCCTTTGAAGGTTGCAAGAACTGCCTGGTGGTGAGGTACACAGGAAGTGCACAGCTGGTATGGTGGAACCTCTCTCTAGGCCACACTTCCTTAGAATCTCTAGATGGCTTCCCAGGGGTGTCCAGAGGGCTAGCTCATCCTTGGTCCCATTCCTCAGTGGAAGCATGTCTCCAGTGAACTCTGGCCTCCCTAAGGTCCCTTTGGCCTTAGCTGAGGCTGTCACCTCATCATTCAACTTCCTAATCCTGAAAGATGCTGCCAGTTGCGTAGGTGGAGCGGAGGACAGACAAGCAGAGGGGTGTTGGATTTCTGCCATGGTAAGTCCAAAGAAAAACATGCAAAGCCGAGAAAGAATCCATCTAGCTTCATGAATTTACCCCACACCACCAACCAGTATTACAGCTTGCTTCTTTTTAGCTAGACACTGTACTCTTCAAAGCCTACAGTTGCCAAACAGGATTTCACGTTATCTTTTGCCAAGTGTCTCGAGGCAATATTACTATGATGCTCATTCACAGGTGAGGGAACAGGCTCAGAGGGCGTTAAGAATGAAGTGCGCTGGCACTGGGCAGGCCTGCTTATTCTTGACGGCTCACTATAATCACCTGCGACTCTGGGGCCCTACTCTGCTCCAATCCCTGCCAACAATCTACGGGAATGTGTTGGAGCACTGGTATGCCTGAAGCTCCGTGGGTGACTAGAAGGTGCAGCCCAGCCTGAGCCCTCTTGGTCTGTAGTCTTTGATTTGTGGATTAAAAATGTCAAGGCCTGAGACCCAGAGCACCAGACAGGAAGTAGGATGACACAGAGCCACTTTAAATGATAAAGGACACCAAGCTTCTTTGGGCTATCCAAGTGGCATTATTCAAGGGATAGCAAGACAAAGTTTGGAACCTAGCAGTTGGGCATAGGATCCTGGAGGCCACATGAAGCCCAGTTTCTTGCCCTGGAGAGTGAGTGCAGCCTAGATAAATGAGATAAATGTGTCTGTATTTGCTTGTTTTGTGTCTGTATTTGCTTGTTTTCTTCTCTCTCTCTCTCTCTCTCTCTCTCTCTCTCTCTCTCTCTCTCTCTCTCTCTCAAAATTTATTTTGAGACAGGGTCTCAGATATTCCAGGCTGGCCTTGAACTCACTATGTAGCCAAGGATGTCTTTGAACTCCTCTGTCCCCCTGCTTCTAACTCCCATACAGGCGTGTCCAACTATGCCCAGGCTCTGAGGATGGAACCTAGGACTAGGTAAGCTAACAATTGAGCTGTATCCCAGGCCTCCAAATCACGTCTTTGGAGCACAAGTGAACCACTCAATCTTGGCAGCTGGAGCAGCCCTTCCAGGTCCCTGAGGACGCTGCCTCTGTAGGTCTTTACCTTATTCCTGTCACATGGGTGACGTGGGAAACAAAGCGAGAGTCAATGGAAATGGAAAGAGCAAATGGAAGGAGCAAACCGCCACAAACAGGGACAGCAAAGTGCTACCAAGTTTCTTCCTTTTCTGTCCCTCCTCCCCCACCCCCCACCCCCCCACCCCCCGCCCTTGGCCCTGAAGAGAAAGGGTGAAAAAGCAAAGGAATTTGGTCATTGGATGTTCAAAGCAGAACTGACTTAGAGATAACTGGTTAGAATTGGACAGAGTAAGGCTGCAAATGTAGCTCATTTGGTAAAGTGCTTGGCAAATTTACCTTCATGGCAAACAGACAAACAAAAACACCCGACAAATGAAAGAACCTGAGGAGGCGGGTGGGTGTATGCCTATAATCTCAGCATTTGGAGGTGACGGCAGGAAGACCAAGGCCAGACTTTACTACATAGCAAGTGTTCCTAATGAGTTTGAGGCCAGCCTGGGCTACACGAGACCTTGTCCCTTCAAAGCAAACCAAACAGGTTAAGTGACAGGTGAAGAAGGCCCATTAACCCCCTGTTTTCTGCCATTGGGATCTTTTCCCACCTTCTGGTAGCTTGACCCTGTCTTGCAGGCTGGAAGGGTGTTAGGGGCTGGGTGTGTGGCTCTCTCAATCCACCAGTCCACACAATGCCTTCCCTGGCAGGTGAAAGCTTTTCCAATGCACTTTGAAAGTATGCTTGTTAAAAATACTCCACTCCGGGAGTGGAGTCCTAGACACTGCATTCCTAATAAGCTCCTCTAATGATTCGGCCACACCAGGTGTGATTGAGTGGCTCATAAAAGCACCGAACCTCTCTCCCGAAAACGGGCATGATTTTAATAGACTCCAAGGCCTTGAGTACTTGATAAACTACAAATGCTGTCCCCTCAGCCATGGCCCTGCTGAGATGTACATACAGGTAGAAAGGAAGCTGAGCCATCCCGGCCTGAATGAAGTCTGCAGCTATTCTGCTCTGGCATCCGAGGACAGGGCATGGCCATTTCTGAAGGTGGTGTGTGTGTGTGTGTGTGTGTGTGTGTGTTTGTGTGTTGGAGATGGAACCTTGTGCATGCTACAATAACACAACTCCCACCGATCTACTGGCCCAGCCTGTTTTACTGAATTTGGGAAGCTCATCCCCAAAGAAGACTCAAACATTTCCTGTTAGTTAAGGTTCTAGGTGATGATGCCACAGCAAATACACATCTTTTGCTTGAACTTAGATTTACACCTGGAGAACATAATTTCATTTGCCTCATTTGGAACTTACCATTCTCAGGTAGAAGACTAGGTGAATGGATGTATATAAAGTTATCGTTTGTTTTCTATAGGATTTCAGTTAGGAACTGGATTAGGATTCCAGTAAGAGGCTGCCTCCAGAAGTAGCTTATGCTGCAAAAGGACTAGGGGTTAGAGAGTTACCTAAGGCTAGCAGGCCTAAGGGTCCTGCAGGCTCCCCCAGAGTGCAAGTGACCTGCAGTGGCACCAGCTATCGCGACTTCCTTCTGTCTAGGCAACAGGAACAAAAAGGGGACAAAGAGAAAACTTGATCAGGTAACTTTTACAGACAATCTCTTATATCAGACATTACGTCATGTAGTCACTCCTAATTTCGAAAAACTCTGGGAAAGACTTCAAAATTGGTGTATGTGTTTCATCTATTTATTTATTTATTTATTTTGTTTATTTATTAAACAAGTGATATTGCTGCCCTTCATAACACTGTTTTGTTTTTGTCAAAACAAAAGGGAGAATAGATAGATGCTTGGTTGTCAATTGGCAAGGTAACCCAATGCCGATTTTTTGTTTGTTTTTGTTTTTCGAGACAGGGTTTCTCTGTATAGCTTTGTACCTTTCCTGGATCTCGCTCTGTAGACCAGGTTGGTGTTGAACTCAAAAAGATCCATCTGGCTCTGTCTCCCGAGTGCTGGGATTAAAGGCGTGCGCCACCACCGCCCGGCTCCAATGCCAGTTTTAATGTGAGGACTTACAAAGAGAAGGGAGTGGCAGGCGACTAGGCTATAAGGACCACTTTGGCTGTCCCCGTTTGGAACAAAGTAGTCCCCTTCAGCTGTTGCCTATTCATAGTTGTCCGTTATTTTCCTTCAGACAGCGAGAAAATGACAATTTACAAGTAGGAAGTCAGTCTCAGTATATAATTGCCACTTTTGTCGCTCACCATTGTTTTCTTCCTATAATTGGCTTCATCTGCTGCTCAAGAACAATTAGAGACCCTAATGTTCTTATGCAGCACAGTTCAACCTGTGATAATGAGGGAACTAAAGCTGGACGCCTGGCATTTTAATATGCTATTTTGCTGAGCACCTCTTGGCATTTAGGTCTCTAAGTTGATGAGGGAGGTGATGCTTTTCTCATACACCCCCATGAGGTTGCCATAGAACCAGCTCCCCTTCCCCCCCACCTGCTTTTATGGATGTTGAGTGAATGTCTCTATGGCAAATCATCGACTTCAGTTCACTGTCATTCCATGTGAGCACTTAATAGAAGCACGTTCAGCTCTCTGCATCCAGTACCATGCTGAGAAATGAAATGTCCTCCACTTGCAAAGTGCCAACATTTCTGCTTTGTTCTTTAAGCCATTTCCTGTTGGAGTTCTGGGATAAGGGGTTCATACCTTCTTTTGGATTTTGAGATGGGATCTCCATACTTTCTCAGGGCAGACCCGAGGACCTGGGACTCCACACATAAACATGCCATTACGCTGGCTAGTGTGTTGAGTGTGTGTTGTTTTTCCTTCTCAGAATGCCCATATCACAAGCCCCTGGGTTTCGAGTCAGGGGAGGTCACACCAGATCAGATCACCTGCTCCAACCCAGAGCAGTACGTGGGCTGGTATTCCTCATGGACAGCAAACAAGGCCCGGCTCAACAGTCAAGGCTTCGGGTAAGTAGGGCAGGCAGCCCAGGTGGAGTCATTCTTTCCTTTTTTTTTTTTTTAAGATGAGAAATTAGGTCAGTCTCATCAACGGATGGCAGAGAAAACACTTATTCAACAAACCTTGACTGAGTGCCTTGTTGTGCCAAGGACTGTGAGCACAGTGGTGGCAGGATGGGTGAGTTCCTTGACATGGGAGGCACACAGTGAAGAGGGGAGGCAGAACTGTAAGCCTATCTCTGCACACCCACTGAGCTTAAGGGATGAACACTGTTGGGAAAGACCTCATCCGTTAAACATGCCACGGAAGTCTTTCCTAAGGAAAAGACCTGAGGATTGCCAGAGTTGGCATGACCTTTTGGTGCTAGTAACCCCTCAAAATCCGGCACCTGTGGGCTTTTTGCAGACACTTATAGAGGATGGCTCCTGGTAATTTGGTGTGTTCCCGGCAGGTGCGCTTGGCTTTCCAAGTATCAGGACAGTAGCCAGTGGCTACAGATAGACTTGAAGGAGATAAAGGTGATTTCGGGGATCCTTACCCAAGGACGCTGTGACATAGATGAGTGGATGACCAAGTACAGCGTGCAGTATAGGACTGATGAACGCCTGAACTGGATTTACTATAAGGATCAGACTGGAAATAATCGGGTAAGTGGGACTCACTCCAAGTCTTCTCCAGCTCACATCCAATGAGACTTGCCCCAGACCTAGGCTCCTATTATCCATGTTTGTGTCAGAGCACTGATCCCTCTGCATGTTGGGTCATCCATGTTCCACCTCCACTGTATGATCTGTTCTCTTTCCCAGATATAGCCTGGGCTACTAGTAGTTTGTAAATGAACGCTGCTCTTTTGTGCCAAAGAGGTATTTTTCTAGTTCTCAGTGTTAGCCTAGAGTCATTTGAAAACACTACCCTGGCTATTTGGGCTGTTCCAAACTCACTGGCTCATTGACTGTGGGGTTTCATGGGCCTGACTTACCTGTTATCACTCATTTGTACAGTCATGGTCTCTTCTTACTATTGACTGAGACTGACAGCTGCAAAGGAAGCCCAGCAAGTTAGGCACTTTGATGCTAGAGAGATGGCTCAGTGGTTAAGAACACATGCTACTCTTGCAAAGAGAGAGTCCAGTTCCCAGCACGTTCTGTAACCCTAGCTCCAGAAGATCAGATGCTTCTGGCTTCCGAGGACATCCGTACTCCCTTGCACATAGCTACACAGAGACACACATGAATACACATAATAATAAAAGCAATACTAAAAACAAGTTTGAAAATGTTAGTAATGGCCTAATATTAAGATGAACTAATTTTAATAGCCTAAATGACTATTTAAAAGATGGTGTCAGTCCAGACACACTTAATTTATTAATCCTTGCAGACTGAGTTCTAGATCTTCACTAGGAACTAAACATATTAAGTGCCTGGCTGTCTTTGCAGTCAATAAAAACGAATCCAAAACTCACTAGCTGTTTGGAAATGCTAACCCATTTTTTTCGCCCAACAGCAAGGGATTCTTCAAGCTATTTCCTTATCTTTCTCCTTCCCTCTCAAGTGCAGTCCAGGCTGGTCCTGATTCTCTTGCCTCCCTCTCCTGAATGCTGGGATTACAGGCACATGCCACCACTTCCAGTTCTCCTCGGACTATTTTGGACATTTAATCAGATTAGGTAGATATGTGTGACTGATAATCAGAAGGCCAACAATTTGCTCAGTGAGACAGTCATAGGTTGAATTTTGAAGAGTTTGACACAATGGGAAAAACCCATTATTTTTTTTTTTTTTTTGAGACGGGCTCTCATGTATCCACGCTGGTCTCCAATTTGCCATGTGGCCGAGGATAACTTCCACTCCTCCTGCCTCCATCCATCTCCCGAGAGCTGGGATTAGAGGTTTATGTGCCATGGACAGTTTATGTGGTGCTGGCATCAGAACCCAGCCCTTTGTGCTTGTTGGTCAAGCACACTACCAAATGGGCCACACCTCCAGCACCTCCTAATTTCAGCTGCTGGTCTTCCCAGTCAGTCACGTTCTCCAAAAGACATTAGAGTTCTTTGTGAAGCCTTGTGCTTGTGAAGAGCTCGGTGGGGCTCTGAAGGAGACACTCCACTCCATTCATGAAGTCTCAGGTTGCAGTCCATCAACTCCCTCTCTCCTTCCTGCTGACTTGAAGATGCTCAAGGACAAACAGCTTAAAGAGAAGGCAGCTCAGGCCTTGTTGCTAGGAAGAAAAGCAGGGTCACTGCAGACAAGGCCCTCCTATTTTGTGGCTGGATAAAGCTAAGTGCAGCAGTGAAATACTTTTAGGAGAAAGTTACAGGAGGAAATGAAGCGCTCTTATGTCATGGAGCAGAACACCATGACCCTGGAAAGAGTATGAAAAATTCAGAAAGTGTCAAGTACCTGCAACATTTTACGTTGCTTCCTGCAAAACATTAAGTGAACCTTTTATCTCTTTATGTCAATACCACCTTCTCCATGCCAGAATTTCCCCTCTAGTTTTTGTCTGTTTGTCAAAAATATTTTTCCAAGCCTAAAAGGCACTTGTCACTTGGAACAAAGTAGAAACACACATTTAAGCTTTGCCTTCCAACTTCAGAGCACAGGTTTGACTTGAGTGCATCCTGGATATCTTCAGAACATGCGAACACCTCTCTTGTGTGGGATGGACCCTTTCAAACTTTTCTGTCGAAGTGTAAAGGATTAAAATGGAAAAGTGGTGAAGAGTCAAGAGGCATATTCTAGCAACCATCCAATAGGACTATCTGTGATGACAGAAATATTCATAATCTGAACTGGCCACCAGGGTGACTACTGGTCATGTGGAGCTGCTGACCACTTGAAATGTAGCTAATGTGGGCTGGGCATGTGGTACTGTGGTAGAGTGCTTGCTTGGCACATACAAGGCCATGGCAACACACACACACACACACACACACACACACACACTTGTGTGTGGATATTATATGACCAGACTTCCTCCCTCTGTTTAGGTCTTCTACGGAAACTCGGACCGGAGTTCCACAGTCCAGAATTTACTGCGGCCCCCCATCATTTCCCGCTTCATCCGACTGATCCCTCTAGGCTGGCATGTCCGAATTGCCATCCGGATGGAGCTGCTTGAGTGTGCCAGCAAGTGTGCCTGAGGCCTGTTTTCAGCTCAGTCAGTCCTGCCACAATAGGGAGAGCTTGGTGGGGGTGGGGGGCCCCCGACATGCCATTGTGATGAACAGGGCTGGAGATTATAAGCACTTCCAAATTCAGATCTGGGTAGAGAATATTTCATTTTTCAAAAGATATAGTTTCCAATTTCAGTGGAAGAAAGAAAGAAAAAAAAGAGCATTTCCTCAACTCAGCCAAAGAAAATAAGAACAAAGAAAATATCCCTCAAACCAATTTTCTTCCATAAACCTAAATAGCAAGGGTAATTTGCTGCTCTCGCTCCCTCTCTCTTTTTCTTTTTGTCTCAGTGACACTGTCAAAGGTGCAGACCCAGGGGAACACAAAGCAGCTCTGATAATTTGAAAATTCTTTTTGGCTCTTACCACATTCAGAACAGGAGCATACGATTTTGCAAAGCCTCACATGAATGCTGAAGGCTTGCCCTTAAAACTTTCATTAAATCCCGACTAGAGAGGACTGGAGAGAAGCAGGCAGGCATGAATAAAGCAGAGGGGAGCCTTAGCATAGCCCAAGAGTCCGTAAACAGCAACCAACCAACCAACCAACCAACCGACCGACCAGTCAAGGCTTCCCCCTCTTGTTTTTGCCTGGAAGGGGTTTGGGCTTTTAGCCACAGACCTGAGGGAATTAGGGCCGGCTGGAGTTCCTTTTACATAGAGTTCCAGTCTGCGACCCATTCAGCAAGCTGTCCATCTGTGCTTACCAGGAAATGAATGCAAGTAGCAGGCTGCATGTGTGTGGGTAGTGAGGCTTCCCTTACATAGAGGACGCCCAAATGGCTAGACTAGATCACACCTTCTTTATCTATGGCTACAGTTTTCCAGAAATTGAACATACTTTGAAAACAGCTGAGGCAAGACACAGCTCTGACTACTAGGAGGAGACCATGCTTTGTGGGAAGGGGTCAGAGCTCATGTCATAGAGGGCTGTGTGGGGATGGCTCAGTCAGTACAGGGCTGGCTGTACAAGCATACGGAGGTGAGTTTATAATCCTAGAATCCATGTAAAAAGCTAGGCATGGACAGGTATGGTGGCGCACGCCTTTAATCTCAGCATTTGGGAGGCAGAGGCAAGTGGATCTCTGAGCTCGAGGCCAGTCTGGTCTACATAGCAGTTCCAAGCCAGTCAGGGTTACACAGTGAGACTCTGTCACAAGAAAAAAAGCCAGGCATGAAATCCTACGACTAGGAGGCAGGTAGACGGGAGGATTCCTAGAGCTTGCTGGTCAGTCTAGTTTAATCAGTAAGCTCCAGGTTCACTGACAAACCCTATCTCAGAAATAAAGTGAGGAGCAACTGAGGAAGACACCCGATGTGGACTACACACACACACACACACACACACACACACACACACACACACACACACACACACACGCAGGAAAAGAAGAGCCTATAGCTTCTCTCTGAGATGCTTCTCCCCTCCAGCCTCTGCCTTGCCCACTCACACATGCTTGCCCGACATGGCATTTGAAACCTCTTTGGGTAGAAATGGACTTGGCTCATCACTCTCTGGCTGGAGTAGCTCATTTAGCGGGGAGCTTTGGAACCTCAGAGAATGACTACTGGTCTTGGTCTCATTTGCCACACAGCTCATGCTGTGTTTGAGGCCCACCTCTGGGAGAGGCACGCAGGGAGAAATTGACAATACACAGGATGAGGACCCTCCAAAGACAAGGGCCTGGTCGCACACACACAGTGTAGCCTTGGTTAGCAGCTCTTTTCTCTGAGATAACTTTCCATTTCCAGATATTAAAGGGATTGCATGGACCCACACTAAAATGGCCTTGGATGGCTGGACTTGGTGGCTTACATCTTTGATCCCAGCACTTGGGAGACATGGACAGGTGAATCTCTGTGAGTTCAAGGCCAGGTCTACAGAGCAAGCTCCAGGCCAGCCAAGGCTACACAGTGAGACTGCCTCTCAAAAATCAATCGATCAATAAAATGACCTTGGATGTCACATTCTTCTCAGTGAATGGAACAACTTCTCAAAAGCCTCCAATTCCCTACCTAGTGTTTTGGAGTTCCACAGGTGTGTGTGTGTGGGGGGGTGGCATTGCACAATGACATTCCTAATATAAAACACACGTACAAATCCATTTGGGATGAAATTCCTGAAAGCAGACTCTTATTTGGAAAACCGAATTACTTTGTTCACCACACTGAGTAACTGTCAGAGAAAATGGCAATAACTTAAGAGTACTGATCAGGGAAAAATTAAACAAAAGGGTGTGAGGCATGGAGAAAGACTTGTCAAATGACAGCCCACATCATAAATTTAATAATAGTTTTATTAAGTTCACATAAACAGCCCTTATCCATTTGAGGTATATAATTCAATGTCAGTATGTTCAGACTTGTGCAATCATGACCACAAGTAACTTTAGACTATGCTTATCACCCCAGAGTGAATCCTCAACCATGAGTCATCAGCCACACCAGCCCTAGGTTACTTGTAATTCATTTGCTGTCTGTATGTAGATATTTCCTGTTCTGGGCATTTTCCCACATAAATGGAATTCTATGATATATAGTGGTTCGTGGTTTCTTGTACTTATGTTTTTTTTGGTTGTTGTTGTTTTTGTTTTGTTTTTTCGAGAAAGGGTTTCTCTGTGTAGTTTTGGTGCCTGTCCTGGACCTGGATCTCACTCTGTAGACCAGGCTGGCCTCGAACTCACAGAGATCCACCTGGCTCTGCCTCCCGAGTGCTGGGATTAAAGGTGTGTGCCATCACTGCCTGGCACTTATCGTGTTTTTAAAGTCCATGTGTTGGAGAAGTACTTCTTCCCTTTTTGTAAATATCATTCCATATAGGGATATTCATTTATTATCTAGCCATTCATCTGGGTGGTTTCCACTTTGGGGGCTGTTTTTTTTTAACATAAATATTTGTGTGTAAATTTTTTTGTGGACATGTTTTATCTTGAGCATACACACTGTTAGAATTATTGGGTCACTTGGTGACTCCATGCTTATCCTTATGAAGAACTACTTTACCAGGTGGCTGCACACACCATTTTCTGTTCTCACTAACAATGTATGAAGGTTCCAATCTCTCCACATCTTCAGCTATGCTTCTTGTCTTCCATTAGATCCATCCTAGCATGAATGAAGTGGCATTCCATGGTGATTTTGATTTGCATTTCCATAATAACCAATGGTGTTGAGTATCTTTTCAAGTAACCATTTGCATACCTTTGGAGAAACGTTTATTCAGACCCTTTGCCCATTTTAAAATTTCAATTCATTGATCCATTAAGAGTTCTTTGTATATTCTACATACAATTCTCTTATGCATACATTTCTTCCATCCTGTTTTTGTTGTTGTTTTGAGACAGGATCTCACTATGTAGCCCTGGCTGGAACTCACTATGTAGACCAGGCTGACCTGGAACTCGCAGAGATCCTTTTGCCTCTGCCTCCCAGGTTCTGGGATTATGGGTCACCACATCTGGCCTTTCTTTTTTAAAACTCTCTTGGTGAAGTCCTTTGAAGCACAACAACACATTCCAAATTTTAAGGAAGCCCAACTTTCCTGTTACTTCTTTTGGTGTATTATCTGCTGCCAAGTCTAGGGTCAAGGTTTACTCCTGTGTTTTCTTCAAAAAGTTTTGAATTCTTTAAAAAAAAAAAAGAGAGGCAGCTTTAAAGCATGAGCAGAATTTCATTCTTTGCATGTCAATATGCATTTGTCCTGGTACCTTCTGTGGCAATCCTTCCCCTAATGAATGGTCTTTGTATTCTTGCCAAAACCAACTGGCCCAGAATATGAGGGTTTTCTTCAGGCCTCCTAATTCTATTACTTCATAGTCTTCATTACTGTATAGCACTGTAGGAAGTTATTCTGGTCTTTTTCAAGGTTGTCCTGGCTATTCTGAGTTCCTTAAATTTCTAAATAAATATATCTGGAGCCAGCCAGGGGTTTCACAATGGAAAATGCTTACAATTATAGAATTTAATAGAGAGTGAGACACTACGATCCGCAAAACATGTATCTGTAGTTAATTTACTTTCAACAGCACACAGATTATTTACTTCATTAAATTTGCGACAAGATATATTAAAAACTAAACTGTTATTGAAGGAAACCTAAAGCCTAACAATCTTGCTATTAGACAAAAAATATGCTTGCAATATCATTTCTTTTAGGGTGTAATTCAATAAAATTATATAATGGAGCAAAATCACTCCCATCTTAGCATATTTTGTTTATTTTTAATACCAGACTTTGGGCTATATGTGGGGGATTGTTTTTTATGATTTTGAGGACCTAACCCTGGGTCTTCATATATGCTAGGCAAATGCTCTACCACTAAGTTCCATCTGCAGCCTGCAGATTAAAACAAAATAGTAAAACACCCAACATTTTGCATACTTTTAATTAATTATGAAGCATTATATAAGTCTATTAAGAAAAACAATTGGAAGTGACCCTTGTACTTGATGTGGGAGGTTATATGGACAAAGCAAAGGTATTTCAAAGTGGAGCTGCTATGAATCCAGTTTCAGAGCCAAGAAGACTACATTCCATAAGCTTTTGAATGACTGCTGACAGCGTCCACCTCTCTGACCACATGAAGTGCAGCGGAAGAGGACAGCTGAAGAACACCTTATAAGGGCTTCTGCTTCCCCCTGCAAGCCCAAGACCAGCCCTAAGTTGGATCTATTTTTTTATATGAAGAGCAAAGGGAATACATGTACCTAATATACTAACCACAGAGATGTCTATAGCCAGCTTTCCATAGTCAGTGAAATTTCTTCCCAGTTTCTTTAAGATTGATGATTGATTGAAGAGAGAAAGAGAGAGAGAGAGAAAGAGAGAGAGAGAGAGAGAGAGAGAGAGAGAGAGAGAGAGAGAGAGAGAGAGAGAGAGAGAGAGAGAGAAAACGAATGTGTGCGTGTGCGTGCATGGAAGCCAGAAGAGGGTATCCAGATCTGGATCTGGAGTTACAGGTAGTTGTGAGCCACACAATGTGGTACTAGGAACTGAACTCAGGCCTTCTGGAAGAGCAGCAGCAAGTGCTCTTAATTAGTAACTTATCATCTCCAACTTGGGAACTAGCAACTGAGGCACAAATACAAAGCATGATGTTATACTAGCCAACATTTACCAAAATTCTGTTAAATGTTTGGCAGCATCTCATTAAATGCTCACAACAGCCCTATGTTATAGATACCAGCAGTGTTTCCATTTAAAGGTAAAGAAACTGAGGCACAGAGAAGCTAAGTAAGTATGTTGCCTCAGGTCATGTCAGAATTAAGTGATAAATCCACTAAGGCCATCTGTCTATTTAACCACTTCATTAGCATCCCTAGATGTCCAATAAGTTGTTTCATTGAAGAACTGTTTCATTCTTAAATCAAATCAATCACTACCAGCTGGGAGATAGAGTGGAAGGTGGCACATGAATTGGTGTGAGCTTTTAGAAAAAAATTGTTATGCTGGGCATGATAGCTCATGCCTATAAACATGGGAGGCGGAGGCAGGATGATCAGGAGTTCAGGAGTATTCTCAGATAACTGTGAATTGAAAGCTAGCCTGAGCTACACAAGACCTTTCCAAGATGAGACAAAACAAACAAAAAGCCCCATACACTTGTTTTAGTCTTCCATTTCTTATGAAACAGGGCCCTCTGACTTCCACACACTTGCTGTGGCACATACATGTCTACAGTCAGTGACA